GGTCTCCCTCTAGTCTGACCACATCATTCTAAAGTGTGGCACACAGAACTGGCCACAGTACTCCAACTAAGTCTAACCAATGCTGGGTAGAGCAGGACTACTACTTCCCATGTCATCCAGACAACACTCTTGTTAATATACCACCAGCCTTTTTAGCTATTGCTTCACATTGTTGGCTCATATTCAATTTGTGATCCACTATAACCACCATATTCTTTTCTACAGTACTACTGCCTGGTCAGTTATTCCCCATTTTGTAGTTGTGCATTTTTCCTTCCTAAGCAAAGTATCTTCAACCTGTCTACTGAATTTCATCTGGCTTGAATTTTCCAAGGTTGTTTTGAATTCTAATCCTGCCCTCCAAAGTGCTTTCAACCCCTGCCAGCTTGGTATCATCCACAAATTTATGAACATACTCTCCAATCCATTATCCAAGTTATTAATGAAAACATTGAATAGTATCAGACCCAGGACTGACTCCTGCAGGACCGCATTAAGATATGCCCTCTCAGTTTGATGGTGAACCATTGCTAATTACTGTTTCAGCATGGTCTTTCAACCAGTTGTGCACTCACATTAAATTACTTATAATCCAGATCACATTTTCCTAGTTTGCTTATTTGAGAACCAGTTACAATGCTGATGTCCTCCAACATAATTGAAGTTCGGTTCTGTTAGGGTTAAAACAAAGTTTGGTTCCATTTAGACCTCTCTCTCGATTGTACAAAGCCTTGGACACATCCTATATCTGCAAAATGCAAACACCAACTCAGTGCTGAAATATCATTCCTCTGCATAACCTCCAGAAAAAATAAAACCATACAAGAAATTAAATGAAGAGCAACAGTGCTAAAACCAGCTATATTAAAAGCTCAAGGATCGTAAAGCAAACATTTTACATTGTTGAATAGTAGGTAACTGCTAAGCAAAAACACTGCACAAAAATAGAGATAAAGGATATCCCAAAAATACTACAAAATAACAATTAAGAATCATTTGGAATACATTTTATAAATAAAATGAACACTGCTTGTGTTTGAATATTTACATTCTATTGTGACAAGTATCATCATCACTTGTACAGCAATTCAACTGTTTTAACCATGCAAAAACATCAACATTACTCCATCTGACCCTCTGTGTTTATAGCAATTTCCACCCAGAGCATATTTTAATCAAAAACGTCACCTGTAAGCACCTGTTAGCTGCCTGTACCAACAGTAGTATGCTCTCATGGGTATGAGCTATTTTCAGGTCAATAAGAAAAGCTTTCCCTCCCAAAACTGTCAAACCTTCCTTCAAAAGTATTAGTTTATTCCAGAAGGGAAACTCACCGAAGAGCCTACACTTGATATTATCATAAATGTTCCTATTCTCAAAAAAGCCACAAGAGATTGATAAGCAACCCTAAAATAATAGAAGCATGCCCATCACACTGAATAGAGGGAACTTTTCTCTTCTGAAGTATTTCACTTTCAGAAGGAAGAAGGTAAACTAATAATGGTATAAAGTTGTAAAGGTGAGAAAAATTCATTTACATTAAACCGAGTGGAAGTAATCATATCAAACTTCCCCTAACATGCTAAAAAAGTATTAACTATATTCTAAACCCATGGGAAAAGTTCAATATTGTCATTTACCTTAAAGCCATACACTATGCATGAATGCCATTAAAGAAAAAAAACCCATACATTTACTTTCGCACACCACCACATTTTATGAACACTTGAATAAAAATTGCTAATAGCTCTTCATCCCTAAAAGTCCCTAAATCAACTTTATTTGAACTTGATATGTTATTAGACAGTATTTGTACATATCTACTTAAATAACTAAAGTATCTACACATATGAATAGTGATGTTCTTGTGGCTATTCTACTACCCACAACTGGATTTTGTACACCACTATAATTGTATTTTTGATATTTTCATTTTAAGCAGCTATGTTACAAGACAATATTTGTTTGTACATATTTAACTCAACTGAGGTGGGGGGAAAGTGTTATATTAAGTCTTATGTTCTTAAAGTGGCAGTAGCACACCAAGTTAAAAGATTTCAATAAGATACCAAACACATTTTTTAAGACATTGATTGAAACAGCAACATATATAGCATATATACACAGTCACACAACCTACCTACCAGCAGGTTTAACATTTTATAAAATGAATTGATCAAAAATTACAATTTAAAGATTTGACTACCATGTAATTTTTTAGTCTCAAACACTGTTGGCTGCAAAAAAGAATAAGTTATCTAATACATACTAAACTATGTTAATGAAATTAATGCCATTCTGTGTCAACCACTAGCTGTAAGTTGCAGTGAACTGCACTTTTGTCATTTAAGAAGGGCCTTGTCACTACAATAGTGACAAAACTGTAGTTTAAAAAGTTGCAGCCCCAAATACAAGGATCCTTTCTTCTACATGGCACTGAAAAATACCTAGTGCATCATCAGAAAAACAAAAAGTATGAAAAGAAACAAAATTGCATCCATTAGGAATACAGTGGCTTACAACTAAATTTGTCATGCGTTACTACATTTTTTTCCCCCCTGTATAACCTAGTCATTATTGGGAATGAAGCACTGCTTTGTAAAGTGATCGTTCTTTGTAAAAGGATTACTCTGTTTAGACTTCATTGCTTTACTGCCAAGCATAAACCATATAAGGAACATGAAGTTCAATGTCATCTATTTTGTTTAGTTCTTTCAGATGCCCAAGAATAACCTTTTCTGTTGTCTGTGAAGTCTATAAATTGTAAACCCAATCACTTGTACTTTATCTCTTGAAAAAGCTATTTTGTATCAACACAAATTTGTCATTTTTCCACTAAAGACTAATATTACTAAACCAGTTTGTGCTAGATAAATAATTGTTTCATATCTACACAAAACTGCCTGTTATTTATCTGATCTGGGTCATCAGATATTTTACTTTCTTGAAAAACAGACAGATACATATACAGTAAGTATAAAAGGTTCACACAAAGGTGAACTTATTTGACTGTCAGGTGCACACGCTTCTCAGACATGCCAGTTCCATATTTCTATACCAGACTGATCAGACACCATATCCAATCAGCATAACTGAAAACACACCTCCCTCCAATTTGTTATACAAGGACAAGAATTTAGACGGTCTTCTACCAAGGGGAACACAAACCAGTCCCAAGTTATGGTCTTTAATGCATTATTTGGAAAGATATATAATACTTGAATGATTTTCTACATAAATGCAGGAGGGGGTTCTCTCTCAGCACAGGTAGTTTTGGAACCCCAATGTAATCAACATCTGGTAATTGCCTCTTTGAAGCATCTTAAACCAAGCTGTGATACAGCTTGTAGAAACTTTGTTAAATATGTTTTTTGTTTAATGCAGTTAGTCAAGACACAAAGTAACTTGTAGTAGTCACAATTATGCAATACTGCAAACATCTTGTTAAGGATACCACATTGAATTGAACTTGTGCATTTTCTTACCCCTGCAACATATTTTGATGAGAAGTCTTATCTAAAGCAATGAAAACTAAATTGTAGTCACCAACTTCTTAACCAAAATTATACCATATGAATTTTTAGAATCAGTCCTTACAGTAACTCATATTAATGTATGCTATTTTCCATTCTTTCATCTACATAGATGTTATCAGGATAATCTTCTTCAGCTTCCAAATTTAGGGCATATTTCTTGCATATGAAAAAAAGGCAATTTCTATTGTAAGGAGAGGTATTATACAAAGTGTTAGTTATCCTCCCCCAGATATTAAGATAAAATTAAACAAACTAACTCCTCTCCAATTAAATAGGTAGCCAAACTCTTCATCTTGAAGAGCAGAAGAAAAGTAATGCAACCTTATTTACAAAGGACTAAGTAAACAATTTTTTACAAATAAAGACCAATAGTTCTTTTTAAAGGGTTCACACATCAGATGGCCGGAGGAAAGGAACCAACACCCCTGAAAGAGTAAGGAAAAATAGTAAATATAGTGATCTCCAAAACCTCTGGACTTCTTTCAAGTAAAAAAGAAAGAGTAGCACCCTTTGGACGTGCTTATTTGCAGAGAAGGGAACTAAGCTGCCAGGCTTAGTAACTATTTCTGAAGAGAACGATTTAAAAAAAAAAAAAAAAAAAGCACAAACGCATAACCAGGCAGTTTCACTTCAATACCTCATCCTGCTGAACAAAGAAACTTCTGTGTTTGAGGAGCTTAAAAACTTTCGATCTCACCAGATTCTTGTTGCAACCTCCATGGAAATAACGATCCCACTCACACAAATAGCATTGGAAGAGACAAAAGGAGACTCAGGCTTATTTCAGGCAGACAACACAGCCCACCAAGAAAAATAAAGGCCAAAAACAGGATATCAGAATGAAACGCCAGCTCCTTCCTTTCCCCTCCCCTCGGCGCAAGGCTTCTTCACCAAACCTCCTCCGCACCGCTTACCTTTGATCGCGGCGGTCTCAATACGCTTCACCCCACGCCAGCGGGGCTCCTTTCTACCCCAAGGAGAATTTTAAATCCAACCAAGTTTTCTTCCCGTGGGCCGAGCGGATGCAGCCGTTTTCGGCCGGGAGGCAGGACTGGGGCGGGGGGAAGCAGCGCCGGCTTCTCGGCACCCCCGATCCCGGTTACAGTGGCTGGCCGATCCCAAGCGAGTCACAGTCCCCCGACCGCGGCGCTGAAGAGTCACTTCCTGCCCCGGGCACAGCCACCGACGGCGAGTCCGCAGCGCCCACCCAGCAGCCCCCCGCCCCCTGCCGCCCGGCCCAGGCTGCCTCCTCCCCGCTCTAGGCCAGCTCGGCGCGCCGAACCCGCCCCGCCCGCTTATTGTCCTATAGCGACTGCCGCATGCAGCCCAGCCCCGCCCGCCCCGCGCCGCCAACCGCCGCCAGGGGCGCGAGGCGAAGAACGAAAAGCTCCTTCCTCACCTGCCCCTTCCTCTGCCCGCTCCCCGCGCCCGGGCGGCTGCAGGGGGAGCCGCGAGTAGCCGAGCACGCCACAGCCAGGGGCGCCCGCGATACACGAGGCGGCAGCACCGCCACCCAGCCAGGGGGAGACTCTGCAGCGCCGCCGGGAGGGAAGGGCGGACGCGCCTCGCTCTCACACTCCCTCCCCCTGGCCGCTAGGGGAGAACCCGCCTGCCTCACCCCAGAACTAGACAAGTCTGAAGCTGAGTGCGAGCGGCGGCGGGTCACAGCCAATCCGGAGCCAGAACCTCGAGAGGGGCGGCCATCCCCAGCCAATCACTGCGCTCCGCGAGCGAGGCCTCAGCAAGGTGCGTTGCGTGAAACAGGGAAGTGGGAGAGCGAGGAACGCGCGAGGGAGGGGGTAGGGGAAGGGCGTGGGGAAGCGGTAGCAGTGCACGAAAAGGTAGGAGAGAGAGGAGGAGGAGGAGGAAGACGAAGAGGAGGGGGAGGGAAGTGAAGGGGAATAAAGTAGCCGAGAAAAGGCTTGACCTAGGTCAGTGTAACGTTCGCGTTTCTCTCGTTACACCCCAAATGCTGCAGCAGCTGCAGCCTTTAGCACGCTACAGTTCTCTGTGTATAAAAAAGCAACAGCTCTTAGTTGTTGGTGCCCTTTTTCTTCCTCGTTAAGCAATCGCCACGTGGTTTCGCTGTCTGTTTTTTCTAGGGTAAAGGTATAACTATTTTATTCTGCTTTTTGGCAGAGTTAATGCAATGAAGGGTGCGGTGGCTCATTTTTCTTTTTAAGGAAAGGTGTCAGTTGTTTAGACAAACTCAAGCTGGATTCTGCAATGACAGTTGTTTCCTTAGGTGTAAGCAGCTCAGCATCATAATTTATTAATTGCACATATTACAGTCAGTCCTGTGCCAGGCTTTTGTTCTCTTGCATTCATAACAACCTTGTTAGTTATCACTCCAATGTACCATTTACCTCCAGTATTTTTATGGGGGAGTAGGGCGAATAGGGCACAGTGCCACCTGGGGAGTTTCCAAAAGATTAAAAAAAAATGTTTGTGTGTTCTTTTAAAGGACTTAAATGCTAATAATAGTACCATGTTATAGTTGGGATGTTGCACACAAAACTAGGAAATTCAGAGTAGTATTTTCAACTGAAACATTTGATCCCCATCTGTATAAGTAACATTTTACTGAATGTGCTATTAACTTTAATGTTTCATAACATGTAAGTGTATGTGAAATGTGGCTAGCAGATTTGTTGTGTGTCACATGATTTATTCATCTGTGTATGTTAAATCTCAACAATATGTGGTGGTAGTAACTGTTTTTGCATTTTGTATCCTTAGTTGTTTTTAAATGTTTCAGTGAATCTGTTGCTTATGTAAAATGCCAGATTGACAATTCTGGAGTCTGAAGTTCTGCTAAGCCACAGGACACCGCACTAGTAACAGCAGGGCAGAGTTCCACATGCTGGTCACCTTATGTTCCTTAATCATGTTCTGAAGGGACCACTTCTAAGGATGATGTTTTCATGCCCATTTAATCCTTGGCCACTCCAGTGGGACTGCAAGCAAATGTGCCAGTAGGAATGGTGATTCTGTATATTAATATGTGCCCATTAAGAACTGGACTAAACCCAAACTCTTTATGTAGGGTACTGAACAGCCATCAGATAATAATGATTTCTGGTCGCTAACAGCCTACACCTGATTTCAGCACACACCTATGCCATATCTACATGACTAAAGACGTATGCCAGTATAATTACGTTGCTCAGGGGTGTGGGAAAAATCATGTGGATCGGGGTGTGGGTATGGACATGACTACCCCTCTCGCGGAGGTGGTTTAACTACACCAATGGGATAAGCTCTTCCATCAGCATAGTAGCATCTTCACTAAAGCGCTACAGGCAGCTGCACTCCTGTAGCACTGTACATGAAGACAGGTTCCTAGAAGTGAAAAGTTCTATATACCATTGCCATTCCCCTGAGATTGATCATTAGGTCAATTACCACTTCAGTTCAAGAGCATTACTGTTACCATTCAGTTCACTGACAGGTTTTGGGTGAGAGTAGTTTAGTTGAGAATTAAGTGCAGATGATCATATTTAAATAAATGCACATAAGTTTGACTATGCCTTCAACTGTTTATTTGACTATTTTCATATATATGGGAATTAAATATTTTTCTATCATGTTCAATTATTTAAATATAGAAACTCGTACACTTTTATTAGAACAATAATGTATTAGACTATTTTCACTCACTTATTGCTCCTATATTTTTCTCAGATAATCCCCTCCTTCTCAGTTTAATAAAGCACACATACCTACCTGAGAACAACTATGCCAAATTTTAAACTTTTAAATAAAAGCACTGGAACCATCAGAGTCGGAAGAGGTCTTACATATTTTTCCAAACCATGAAACCACTATCGTTTTCTCATGCTCATATGAGTCATTTTCTTCAAAACAACTCACCTTTGGGCTAGAATCAACTATGACAAACTTCGGCCCCCAAAGTTAAAAATAGAGACTTTGAATCAAAGTACCTCTTGACTCATCAGCATAGTGTCACTACAGTGGTACCTGTAGACAAGTTTCTCATCCCATGTGAACTGTTGAGAGTTCCTACCCAGTATCCAGCAATGCAAGTAATGTTATCACAAGATGGTAATTTCCCAGTGATGTCCTCCTTTTTTTCTCTCCATGAACTCTTTCAGGCACTTGCTTTATGCATGAGATTACCATACCCTTTGTTTAGTGCAGATTACTCTTTAGCAATGTTTGTTGTGAATTGCCTAATGCATCTACTAATGCAGCTGGAATAATAGATGGGTGTGGGAAATTCCCTGTGGCTGTTGTTCCCATACAACATCTAGTATAGTCAGTTTTAGTTTGTGTAAAATTTTGTTTTATTTATGGTATTAGCCATCCCAAACCAAACAATGTAGCCCCAGATTAAAAGAAAATAGTTAGCCTACAGCTCCTCATGACGTTTTATTAGACAAGATAAAACTATATATACAAATTAAGAAAATGCCAAAAGTTATTCTAGGGATTTAAAAGGGCTATAAATACCAAGACACTGTTTAGAATGATTATAACTTCAGGAAATGTCAAATGTGGTGGGATTCCTTACTATAGTGTAAATAAATCCTATAACTTCAACTTCATAATTATTTTTGTTAAAAATAAAGAATTATCAATAAAAGTAAGGCAATGCTAAAGTTATGTGAAACATAAGTACCGCTGAGACAAACTGAGTGATGTCTCTCAAAATGAATTATGTACATTTAATAGATGCTCTTGCCATAAGGGACTTGCAATCTAAGACCCTGCTCCTCCACACACTTACGTGCAATGTCTCAGACCATCCATGAGCTTTTCTTTATGAGAATATCCCATACTCTGACCCATAAAATATTATCAGAGGATTCATTTCTCTTCCAAAATTCCACCTGAGCACAACTTGATTCTATCAGTTGTTGAAACAATTTTGTATTATAAAGAGAATATTATAGCTCTTTTAATCCAGGAGACACAGACACACTATGCATAGATCAATGGGTAATTTTGCTTTTATATGATATTATGTTTAAAGAGTTACTTCTTAAGGTTTCTAAATCTTCAAGATAGAAGATCTAGCATAATCAGACTAAAACTCATTTAACCATTGTTCCTTGTGTTCTGGGCAGTACTTGTCAATGTTAGGAATTCCCTACTTATTTAGTTTTCAGATGAAATTTAGAACCTAATAAGTACCTAACAATACTAGTCAGCAGCTGTTTTCAGTTGGAGAAGATTGAAAATTTCGACCTCTTATGACAGCAAGTGCGTAGACTCTAAAGAGATATTTTGTAATTTGGTGAATGCAACTTGTCAGTGATGAAAAATCTCAAAGTTAGTATGATACTAGTTTAGAAACATCAGTTTTAAGTATAATTAAAATTTGGTTAGAATACTTCTATGTGGTATATACTGGTTGTAAGTTATTATGCAATCACTTACAGCTTAGGGGTAATAAACATTATGGTTAAAAGGAAATACCAACACAGCATTACTTATACAATACTCTTACTTCCCTATACTTAAAACAGCTCTGAAAACAAAACAAAAATTCAATGTTTAAACCATTTCTAGCTTTAAAATTGTTGGGGGGGGGTTTCCTCCCAACATTTATATTTAATTTTCCAAATGGAGACAAATTTAACAAAAAATGCAGCTACCAGGGATTACCTATTAGAACATGTTTAGACCAAAGTAGATTACAGGAACCTCAGACAAATATGTAGAGTAATTTAACACCATACAGAGCAATAGCTTGAAAGAGGAGAAAGGAAATTTCATGCCAACAATTTATCCAGTCATGCAGAATCATCTATGCATGCAAGTAGCTCAGTAATGAGGATAATGAGGCAAGCCTCTAAATTATATACACTGTGTCAGAGAATTTGGTGAACAGTGTTTGACTAGCATGGTAGAACATATACCTGTTCCTCTATAGTCTCAAATATTTTCTATCATGACAATGTCCTGCACTTTACTATCCACTAACATGGGCAACCTTTAGGCAAATAGAGCATAGCAGCATTAGGAAGGAGCCTTCCCATTTTAATCCCAAAGGAACAGTGCCATATGACTGGGCAATCACAGAGAGATTATGCACATACCTCAGTCAAGTTTCTTGGTATTCAGTATGAAACCCAGTCCAAGTCACTTATTATTCTCCAGAGAGTCAATGAGTCACTGCACTTTGACATTCAGAATCCTTCATATCACATGGTAAGGAAAGCAGGAGACGTTATCTACTGATTCCCCAACAAGCTAAGAGTACTGACTACTGAAACATACTGTGTAAGTGCTATTTATTCTGGTAGTTAGTCACCAGACAATGACAAAGCTGTAAAACATGCCATGGGCCTTTGCTGACATTTGGCAATTACTTCTTTAGGGCCCAATCCTGCAATACATACAATATGTGGAGGTCAGTGGGACTACTCATGTGCCTAGAGACATCGCTCCTACCCTGTTTCCCCGAAAATAAGACCTACTTCCAGTTTTGCCTCTCGCTGTAATATAAGGCATCCCCCCGAAAATAAGACCTCCCCGATAATAAGGCCACCCCGGAATATAAGGCCCCGAAGCTCCAGGAAAAATAAGACCTCCCCTGAAAATAAGACCTAGCGCATCTTTGGGAGCAAAAATTAATATAAGACACTGTCTTATTTTCGGGGAAACAGGGTAAGTGAAGACACTTATTTAAAGAAGTCTAATGCCTAGATATTCTAGATATTAGATTTCAGCGTAGAGCGGGGTCGGCAACCTATGGCGCTGATTTTTGATGGCACGCG